GCCCGGCTGGCCGGCGAGCTGGAAGCGGGCGACGGCGGCAGCTATCGCGACGGGAACTGGACGGGCAGCGCCTGGTCTTCCGCCGCCACGGCCCGCGTCCTGCTGGGCTGGGCCCTGCCCTGGCTCTTCCCCCTGGCCGCCGTCCTCCGCCACTGACGGGGCCCGGGAAACCTCCACCGCGCCCGGGGCGGCTACCGACGGGACCTACCGGTCGCCTCCCCCGCCCTGGGCTAGCAGCGGCTCCCAGGGCCGTGCCCACCCCGTGCCCAGCTCACCTCGTCACCCACCACCACCGGGGCAGGACCCTGGAGGAAGCCCCTCCACCACCTTCCCCCCACCCCCCACGCCAGACCCCGCTGGCTCGGGCACTCCTCGGTACGGAGGGTCTTGCAGCATTCGGAGGACACGGAGACGGCAATAAAGGTGGATGGAAAGCAGGTGTGATTGGACGTGGGGCTCGGGATGGGGGCATGGGGACAGCCGCTGCCCCGGCACCCTGCCCACAGGGATTTTTATTTGGAGATGGTCGTCCCAGAGAGCATCCCCTCCATCTCCCCACCATGGAGAGCATCGCCCTGCACGGTGACACCATGGGACAGATCACACCCCAACAGGGTGTCCCCAGCCTGCACGGCCACAGGCGGGTGTGCCTCTGCGCCCGGGAACGGGTCTCAGTCCAGCGTTACCCTGCCCAGGCGGCCCGCTCGGAAATCCCGCAGGAACTCGTAGGCAGCAGCCGGGTAGTCGAGTGTTGTCACATTGACGTTCCCTGGTGGTGGGGTATGGAAGGGGGTATCAGCAGAGCTGGGAGCAGCCCTGGGACCCCAAAAGCCGCCCCAGGTACTCACCCGTGCCTGTCAGCACCTTCACTTTCTGTGTCCTGCCGCGGGCGAGGGCCACACACTTCAGCACGGGCTCGATGGTGTCGCAGGCCCTGGCCAGCCCGTAGTGCCGCACGTACCTGCCAGAGGAGATGGCTTACCCGCTGCTGGCACGGCTCTCCCTCCCTCAGCTCCCCAGGCACGTTTTCTCTGCGACCCGCTTGGGATCCCAGCCCAGGGCCCTCTGCAGTTCCCAGGCTGGCTCACTCGAACTGCTGCTGCTTGTTCAGGGTGTACAGGAGGTAGTCAGCCATGACATCCTCTCCCACCAGGTGGTCACGGATGGCTCCTGGAAAAGAGGATACAAACCCCAGCTTACCCCAGCCCTGCTCCAAGCCCTGGCCACCCCTCCCTGCTGTGGATGTGCCACCCATGGTAGCCCAGGCAGCACACAGGGGAGGCTGCCAGCAGCAGACTCCCAACCCAATCTCAGGTAACCAGCCCAGACAGGGCTAGAAGCCACATTTGGGGAGTCGCCCCCAGCCAGAGCCTCCCCCTCACCACACAGCGCCAGCTTCATGCCCGTCTCCACATCCCCCAGCTTGGGGGGTAGCACACCAGGAGTGTCCACCAGGTACATCAGGGGCTTCTCACAGACCTGGGATATGGGAGAGATAGGGCCGTTATGATGAATGGCTTGGTAATTAGGACAATAGACTCTGACATGGCTAACAAGCCAGATGTTGAGCTCTTTCATGGAATCGTCAGAGCTGGAAGGGACCTCTAGAGATCATCTACTCCAACTCCCCTGCCAAAGCAGGGCTGCCCAGAGCACATCACTCAGGAGCATCCAGGCGGGGCTTGAAGATCTCCAGAGAAGGGGACTCCACACCCTCCCTGGGCAGCCTCTGCCAGGGCTCTGCCACCCTCACCCCAAACAAGTTCTTCCTCAGATTTGAGTGGAACTTCCCATGTTCCAGCTTGTGCCCGTTGCCCCTCGTCCTGTCACTGGGAACCACTGAAAAGAGTCTGGCTCCATCCTCCTTCAACCCACCCTTTAGATCCTTGTCAGCATTAATAAGGTCTCCCCTCAGCCTTCTCCAGGCTGAAGAGCCCCAGCTCTCTCAGCCTTTCCTCATCAGGAAGATGCTCCAATCCCTCCACCATCTCTGTTGCCCCAGGCTGGACTCTCTCCAGCAGTTCCCTGTCTCTCTGGAACTGGGGAGCCTAGGACTGGAGGCAGGATTCCAGTTGTGGCCTCACCAGTGCAGAGGGGGACAATGACCTCCCTCGACCTGCTGGCCACACTCTTCCCTACGCAGCCCAGGATCCCATTGGCCTCTTGGCCACAAGGGCACATTGCTGGCTCATGGATGGTTTACGATCCACCAGGACCCCCAGATCCTTCTCCCCAGAAGTGCTTTCCAGCAGGTCCACCCCTAACCTCTATTGGTGCCTGGGGTTCTTCCTCCCCAGGTGCAGGACCCTACACTTGCCCTTATTGAACCTCATCAGGTTCCTCTCTGCCCAGCCCTCCAGCCTCTCCAGGTCATGCTGGATGGCAGCACAGCCCTCTGGAGCATAAGCCAGCCCTCCCAGTTTGGTACCATCAGCGAACTTGCTGAGGACACACTCTGTCCCCTCATCCAGGTCATTGATGAATATGTTGAACAAGATTGGGCCGAGTATTGACCCCTGGAGGACACCACTGGTTACAGGCCTCCAACTCGACCCTGCTCCATTAATTACAACCCTTTGAGATCTGTCACACAGCCAGGACTCAATCCACCTCACTGCCCCCTCACCTAGCCCATACTTCCTTAATTTTCTAATGAGGATGTTATGGGGGAGTGTCAAAAGCCTTGCTGAAGTCAAGGTAGATGATATCTGCCGCTCTCCCCTCATCCAGCCATCCAGTTATAACATCATAGAAGGCTATGAGATTGGTCATTAAAGCCTGTCTGGAAAGGGGACCCAAGCAACCCTTTGAGATCAGCTCTGTGTGCCTCAAGGTTTTCCAGAGCTCCTGCCAGAGGACACAGAGAGGCAGAGGCCAGCACCTACTCAGTTGGTCGTGCCGCAGGGATGCTACCTGGATTCTGGTCAGCACTGCCTTGGTGATGCCTGGCTCGCCACCAACCGCTGTGGCTTTTCCTTTTGGGGAAAGGAGAGACACAGTCAGAGAAGCAAGCGGCTCTGCCCTACTGCCCACTCCAGGACTGTGCCAGTGGCTCCTCCCCAAGCCCAGGCACCATGGAGAAATACCCTTTTTGAGGTGCAGCCTCCGCAGTGAGTTTATGAGCGAGGATTTGCCCACATTGGGCACTCCGATCACCAGGATGCTGTGGGCAGTGCTCTGAAAACAAGGAGGATGCAGGCAGGGGGCAGACCATTATTGGCCACCCACCCCAGGAGCGACAGGCAGCCGCAACAGCAAGACAGCCTGGCACTTGCTGGCATTTCTGATGTGCACGCGAGCAGCCTCATCCCTCCAGCTGGAGAGAGAGGTGACCTGCAGATGTCTGCAGTCTCACTACTGTGTCTCACCTCAGCCCTGTGGTAGCGTGGGCTGTCACCCAACAGCTTGGCAACCAGGGGAATAATCTGCAAAGAAACACAGAAGGGCTGTAACTGTGGCTCTTGCACCTGGGCTGGCAGCAGCCACTCAGAGGATGCTGTGCCAGGAGGATGAGCAGAATGGCCAAGCAGAGGAAAGAGTGCCTTGAGCAAGCTGGAAACGAAGATCGTGCTGGACCAGCCAGCAGCACCTCCCCACAGTAGGGCACTGAGGCTTCACCACAGGACTAGATCAGCTGCCAGCAGCGAGAAGCAGGGCTGGGCACAGGGCTGCTGGCCCATTACCTTCCTGATGTTGCCATCGCGCTGACAGTCAGTGAAGACGACGTGCGAGTATCCCTGCTGTTTCAAGTGCTCCAAGACTGTCTGAAGGGGACAGGCAGAGGCACTGCTGGCACCTGTGACCTGCAGGCCCCCAGCCAGCCAGCCAGCCCTGCCCCGCAGCTCACCGGCTGCCGGCGGGGATCAGCCAGGTCCATCTTGTTCAGCACTAGGACATGTGGGCGGATGCCCAGCGCCTCTTGCAGCATGGGGTTACAGCCCGACAGCGGGATGTGAGTGCCGCTAAGGAGAATGACGTGCACCGCTGTGAAAACAGGTACTGGGGGGGTCAGCGGAGTTTATGGGGCTGGAGGAGAGCTGGAGTGGGTTGCGGGGCCGGGAGAAGGGAAGGCCTGGAGAGAAATGGAGTAACTGGGGAAAGGGGAACCGGTGCTTTCCTCGGGGGGGGGAGGGGGAGGGGAAGCAGGGGGGGATCAAGAGCCGTGCCACAGGATATGCGAGCGTCGCGCACCTCGATGAGGCAGTCGGCGCGCCGCAGGGAGGCCCTCATCTGCCGCAGGCCTGGAACACAGCGCCGGGTGAGCGGCGGC